GCTATTTTTCTCTGACTCATTGTTTATTAATGCTTCAGCAGATTTATAAGAAGGGACTCCTTTATTGAAATCATTCTACAATGCAAAACCCAATACAAACCTATTAATATTGAATTAATATAAAGTGATATAAAGCAATATATAATTAAATACTTACCAAATACTTTGCTATATAGTATTTCATACTATTTATTGTATATATGATTTTATATAATCATAGATTCAACAATATATTATATATAGCTAATGCAAATGCACAGTATTTATTTAATAAATCAGATATTGCAATTATAGAAAAAGTAGTCCTTGTAATAACTACTATATAATACATACTATTAATAATCTTATTAAACATAATACACCAACTTGATATATTTAAATTAAAATATAATTACACAAAATTTTACACATTAACTTACAATTAAATAAATATATTTAATATTTGAAGTTTTATAGAATATATTTATTAAAAAAAATTAATTTAATTTTTAATTACATATTGTTTAAAAAAATCTTAAAGTTGGTTAATTTTTTTTAAAAAAATTAAAAAATTAAAATTTTTTAATATATTTCTAAATTAACTAATTATAATTAAGTATTTTTTGTACTACTACACAAGTACTTTGGTGTAACCTTTGTGTATAAATCTACAAAATTTTAACTATAATTATTATATAAAAAAAAAGTTATAATAAAAAGAAAATTGCCTATTTAAATTAGTTTACTATATAAAAAATTAATAATTTTATATAATAAAATTAATAATACTTATATATAAAAAAGTTAGTAATTATAAAACTTTTTTAAATTTTAAAAATTTTATTTATATTTATATATATAAAATAAACTTCTTAATATATATTTTATATTTATATTATTTAAAAATATATTAATTATTAATTTTATAAACTTGCTATATAAGTATATTTTATATAAAAAATCACTATATTTTTTATACTTACAAGTACTTATTTTTTTTGAATATCTCTGTTGTTATTGCAACTAGGAGTGCAGATAATAATCTTTTTTATTAAAGTATTATTTTATTTAGTTTCTGCAAATTTATATATATTGTTATTATATACATCATCAGTAGTGTTTTATAGTTCTTTTATATCACATACTAACAAGTTTACTTATGATAACTTGGGTCTCTGGCCTTGCAGTATAGGACTCTTAACTTCATAATTCACAGTTCTCTATTAATATAGGCTTATAAGTTCTGTCTTCTTTTAGTATATCTTTTTATAATTTTTTCTTAATCTGAAAACTCTTATATTATTGATGTTTCTTGTTGAATTATTTTTTTATCTGAGTGTTATATGACTTTGTGACTATGTTATGCAACTTGTTTGTTGCTATAGTACTTTTGTCTGAAAGTAAAAATAGAAATTTCTTTTAAAATTATGAACATTCGTAATCCTGGTACAGTTTTTTTTTTAATTAGAATTGAATTAGCAATTTTGTGAATACAACCTAAAAGTGTTAACTACTGCATTATTGACTTTAAATCCAAGTACTTATTTATAAATTATTCTAATAAAATTTTTTTAAAATTTAAAAAAAAATTTATTTTATATATAAAAGAATATAAAAAACATTTTTACTTAATAGACAAAATATAATTTGTATAATAAAAAAAAAAGTTATAAATTAAAAACTAAATAATTTAAATATTTTTTATAAATTTGAATATTAAAGTTCCTATTTTTAGGATGCAATATTATTATTCAAGTATATAAACATGGCATGCCACCAGAGGCTACCTTATATTAAAGGTTACAACTAGCCATATATGCACTTTTGATGCCTAATTTAAGTAGTTTGCTTATATATTACTATATAAGTTCTATACTAAATACCATATCTGCAAGTTAACTAGAGGTCTTGTCTATTTAAACTCTCTGCATATGCAATTCTTTTTGTATTATAAGAATATTTTCAAGGCTACACTTATCCAAATTTCTAATACTGATTAGTACTCTTAGAACTACTTTATTCTTAACAGAAAACTTTTTTTTTTTTGTATTAAGGTAAGGCTTTGCTCATATCTTTATTAGTAATTTTAGTTATACATATTAATATACTATATACTAAGATATACTAAGATTGAACAGAAAACTTACTAGAGCCTATATGTCTTATATATACTAATCTAATTTTATGCAATACACTATAGTTATCTAATACTTGCAGTCACAGAGGTTGCCTGTTTAACCACTATATTATACTATTTCTATTCTTATAAAGTTTATTAGAACTTTAGTATCTATCTTTCTGACATCTTTTTTATCATCCCTTACTAATTGCAATTCAAAATTAGTAGTCTCTTTTAAACTACCAATTTAGATAGCCTGATATAGTATACTTCTATATTTTTTTCCTTCAGTAAGTCCAGTAACTTGGTTGGTTATATGCTTCTCTTCATATGTTTGATGTCTAGTTTTGATCTTTGGTTCCTATAAAGATGTTTCATAAGCTTTAATTAGTCTGATGATATTATTGAAAGTTCATGCTACCTTTTTACTTAAAAAGTTCCAAATAGGTTTCTGTTATCTTGATTTTTTAGTCTTCTAGCCTTGGGGTCTTATTATGAGTTTGCACTGAAGTCTTATGCAACATCAATTATATATTTCTTTATATATATATAATGTTATGCTTTGTATAGATGCCCTAAGCTCTCAATGTCAATAGGACTGATTTGGTGTATCTGAGTTATAGCCACATAAGGCCAACTGATCAACAGAAAACAGTTACTATTATATTGATATAATTTTCAAATTTCATTGTAGATGAAATTTGAATCTTAGACCTGCTACTTGGAAGATAACAACTTAACTACTATACTAGGATCACTATTCTTTTTTTTTATAAATTTGTAAATTGATAAGAAAAAATATTTAATTAAAATATAATAAATTTATTTTTAAACCTTTATATTATAGTATATATAATCCTAAAAGTATAGTTTAAAATAACAGTTATTAGATTTAAAATTTTTAATAAGCTTTTTAATTTATTTTATAAAATATAATGTATCAGAAGTGACAATACAGCCTATATTATGTTATTATTTTATTCAAAAAGAACAATTTTGTGCATATCTTTAATAAAAACTTAGTCATATTATTATAACAAAATTAAATTAATTATTCAAAAATATTAATACAAAATTGATTTATAATTAAATTACTGTGCATTTTTATTGGCTAGATCAAATTTTAAAATAATGTGCAAAAATTTGAAACAATTTGAATCCTAATTTTTGCAGATTTCTGGAACAGGACAATAATTTTATGTAATTCACAAAAAACCACAGAACTTATTTTAAACACAGCTAACTACAAAAATCATCCTAGTCACCATTGAATACCACAAAATTCTAAAAAAAAACAGCACAGAATATTACTGAATTCCAAAATATTGTGGTACTTGACCACAAATTCATGTCAGCATGAGAAATTTCGAAAAGTAAACAATAAAACAACATAAATTATGAGCATGTTTGTCGGAAAGTTACGAAATCCTATAGTTTAAAAAAATTAGATAAACGTGTCAAAACACAGAAATTACAGAATGGCATCACATAACAACACAGAAATTATAAAATAGTACAGAATTGCACAGAAATTTGTTAAAAAATTTATCATATTAAATCACAGAATTTGTCTTAACCACAAACATAAATTAGTCTTAACCACCACTGTCCCTGGATTAGTACTCCGCAAAATCAAATCAAATTTTGAATTTGAATCAAATATTTGAAATTTGATCAAAATTTAAATATTTGATTCGGCTAAAGCGGAGCTAATTCAATATCGATCTACATACTGTGAAAATTATATTCTTGACATCTATATAGCCCGTTAACACTAACTGCATCAAAAAAGTAAACCTAAAACTCGCTCCGCTTTAGCCGACCACCTTTGTAATGAATTTCGCCCAATCAAAATGTGTAATTTTAAGCGTCCAATGGAGACTGGGGGAAAAATTAGTAAACCCATTATATAGGTGACTGTAGAGGAAATTGGAAATAAATTATTAGTTGTTTGCGCGATGGCAATCTATACCGTGGATAGTAAGTCCTGGAATTTTTACAACCTAGTCATCTGATGTCGGAAGGTGGGTCAAGAACATGATAAAAATTTTTTATTTATGTAATACGGACATAACTTTAGCATACTTGATATCATTAAAGCTTTATTACGTCCTAAATATACTTACTGGAAAAACTATAAATATTCAAAATCCCTTCAGAACTCACAATTCCAAGCATAATAAAGTTATTCCAAATCCATAAATTATCAGGCCACGCCCAAATGCATCAATAATATTAATATTATTCATCAACTTTAAATCATTCATTCTTATAGATGAGTAATTATAATCGATCTCCGGTGTATATGAAGGTGAGTCAGCACAAACTAAAATTCTACATGTTTTTAAATTTAAAATATTTCAGCAACCATTAAAAGTATATATTGCATACTTCATAGAATTATGAATATTAAAATTTAATAATTGTTAAGATATTTTAAAGTTTGGATTAGAAAAAAAAAAAAATTGATTTGCGTATTTCAGTTGTAAGAACAGGATTTAAGTGGATTTGGAATTTCAGGGTTAGGGTATAGGGTTTTATATAAACCACATTTTATCCTAAAATTATAATTTTATTAAGAAATTCCAAATTCACTTAAAATTCCCATCACCACCTACAACATTTCGATTGACTCACCCATATACATAATTAAGATATTAGAACAAAGCCTTTAGTTCTGAAATCACTGAGCATGTAATGCTTATTCTAAGTTAATTATGCTTTCATAATGAATAACAGAGTTATTATAAAATACCGTGTTTATTATTTTACTTACTTATTGATACACCCTTATTACAATTTTTTATATATAAAACGAAAAAATTGATATTAATATATTAAATAAAAATAGATGCTACACTAATACCCTGTGTTATTTTTAACAATAATAAAAATCAAGGATTTAATCCATGTTAGATGGATTTATGTTCTTTCGTCTTGTAAGAACTACACCTTTATTAAGTACTTTTCTAGAATCATCTTTACCCTTAACACTAACCAATGGAAATGAACAAATTTCCACTTCTAAATCATTAATCTCATAATCATCCCATGTTCCTTCCATAATATTAACTTGCAAAGGTGTGCCAGCTTCAAAAAATTCCGTAAATTCCGGTACAGGTTCTTGAGCAAGTAATCTAAAATATAAGAGAACAACTTCTTTTGCTATTTTTGCTGCCCTTTCATGTGATTCAGTTTGCTTTTCTTTGGTTTTAAATTGTCGATATTTACCAACAGTTTTTAAAATTGTGTCTGTTAATTGATCAACAAATGGATGTTTATCAGTACAGAACCCTCGAGTTCCTAATACTGCATAAACTTGTTGACGGATATTTATGGGTGTTACTTTTGTTATATCATCAGTTCCTTTACGCGACTCAGAAAGTTGATTTACTAAATCACATAATACTTTCATGCATGTTGCTATCTCAGCCTCAAGATTGTTGTCATCGACTTCAATAATTTGCTCTTCTACTGAGTCTCCTGGGACTGAAGGTAGGGGTGGTCTTTGTTGAAGCGAATGTGACCTTCCAACAGCAATTGCGGTGCGTGCTTTTGTCACTGGATCTTGTTGATCCACTTCTTGTTGTTGTATTTGTGATTGTTGTGGTGGTGGCTGTTGAGGTTGTTGTAGTTGTTGCAGTTGTTGTGGTTGCAGTGGCGGTTGTTGAGGTTGAGAATGTTCACTTTGATAATCTGAAGATTGTAACTTCGGTTGAAATAAATATTCACTAATAAAGCGAAACAGTTCCTCAAGAATAAGACGTTGTAAAGCAGCGCTTAGCACCGGTTTTCCTTTTCCTTCCTTAATCCTCATTACGCACTTGTAATGGAATAAGAGTTCATTGGCGGCCTCTTCATTAATAGATACATCTTTGCCTTTAACTGAGGTGAATTCTTCCAACAAAACCACTATATCAGAAATCGTTTTTGCAAGTTCCACAGTATTGCTGGTATGATCATCCCCAAAATGAAAACTTTTCATTTTTCCAAGAGCATCTTGATATTTACGAGTTTCTTTTTCTAAATCTACATGTTGTTTCTTTAAATTTTGAAATTCAATATCTGAATCATGAATTCTTTGTTGCCATCGACCTCTTTCAGTTTCAAACCGTGAATTCAAGTCCTGACAAGATCTTTGTAATATTCCATTTTTTGTTTCTAAATCACTAACTTGTGAATGCAATTCCTTTGTCTCTCTTTCTAATTCTTCATTTTCCTTTATAGATTTGTCATAAGCACTTTGCATCATTTGATATTTTTCATTTGCATTCCTAGAATTAGCAGAAAACCGTATATTCTCATAGTTTTCATCTTTTCCTAAAAAAAAAAATATTTTTAAAGAAAATCAATTTTTCATCATTAATTTGAAACTTAATGATTTATTTAATTTCTAAAACCTCACCCTTTGATTTTCTGGATGGTAATGGCGGTGGACCAGATGGACCAGATCTTTTTGCATCACTTGACATAATTATCCAAGCCTTTTATTATTGAAAACCTATTCAATTAAATGAGTAACTCGTCGGAAGTGTAGGCTGAGTCGAATGTTCGTTGGTAATGCGCATGTATTTTTAAATATGTTTAATATTTGTAACACTTGTAATACGACAAGTTATGATTATGGATTTTCATTTTAATCCAAGATGCTAATCCATTACACAATTGAACAATAATAAGTTATTCTTATACATATCGATATAACAATAAATAACGATAATACTGTAATAAACGAAATATATCATATATATATAAACATTTTTTACCTAACAGTCAGTGAAAAATATTAGTTTATTTAAATCGATATTTTTGCAATTTTCAATGTGTGTAACAATACAACTTCGAGCAAAATTAAGTGTATAATTTGGGCCGGACAACACAAATTTGGCCAACCTTAACTGTCGGTAAATTTCGGATCCGTAGACAATCAACAAACAGAAAACCATGTTTGTCGGGAAGTTACATTACTGATCACGTTATGTTGTGTTACACCAAATCGTGCATTATTATTAGCTAATCTTGGTAAATCGATATTTTTTGACTATATCGATAAATATTTTTGCAACCCACATTTTCCGATATTTTCCGATAACATGTTCGACTGTATCGGTATTTTTAATTAAATATACAGAAAAAATGTCCCCTGCTTTCTATAACCTTAAAACGTCATAGAAATAAATAGCACCCAATAATTTTTCGGCCGATTTCCTATTATGGCAATTTTTTTAGCCGACAGTCTACTATTCTATCGCCATGGCAAAATATTGTCCGCTGTGGTATCTTTTATACTGCTTATCTGTAACTTTTTTTGTTAAAGTTGAAAGAGTTTCATAAAGAAAAAATTTAAATCAAACAAAATAACTTAGAACACTTTGAGTTGAAACGTAACTTTTTTTTCAGTTTCTGTTTTTTTTTAATACTGAAGTAACGTGATCAGCTAGACTATCCGTATAAATATGGTTAACTCTCCTTTACCAACAGATCTAGCAGGTAAAGAATAATTTTGTTTTTTTTTCTACTTACTATGACTTTTTTATTATTTATTATTAAGCAGCTTTAAAACGTATTTATTTCTCAGGTGAATGTAGAAAGGCAGCCAAAATCTTGAATAGCTTCATTGGTACGTGTCTACTGCTATCATTTACTGCCTTTAAATTTCAATTATTTCTTTATTCATGATTTACTCGATGGTTTCTATTTTTATAGATCCGGTTGCAGCAAAGGTATGTTAAAATTGGGTTATATAGGTGATTGACTATGAAAATCCTTGTCAGAAAGGAAATATCAAACAGGGGGTTTTCTAATCCATCACCCAAATTAATGTATTTTTTTTTTGAAATAAGTTACTTAATGTTAACATATTGTTATTATTGTAAAGGGTCCTGATAAGGTCATTCCACCAAATATTTTACAAAAAGCGAAAGGTTTCGCGATTTTTACCGTTATCAAAGCTGGCTTTGTTTTCTCAGGAAGAGTAGGTTCTGGATTAGTTGTTGCAAGGTATATCACGCGTTATTTATGTTAAATATTTAATAGAATAAATAAAATTAAAATTTTATTCATTTTTTTTCCCAGACTTGAAGATGGATGTAAGCAATTGACTTTAAACACGATTAATCGTTGAGTTTTTTTTTAGTTTTAATTCCTGTATCTCTTTCGTATAATTTAGCATGGTCAGCACCATCGGCAATTGGTACTGGTGGTATGGTAAGCTGAATAAATGATCTTTTTTTCATTTATTCATAATAATGCTAATTTATTTCGTTAACCCTTATAGGGTTTTGGTGGACAAATTGGTGCTGAGATCACAGACTTTGTTATCGTATTGAATAGTAGAGCTGCTGTCAAATCTTTTATGCATGGAGGAAATGTCACCTTAGGTGGAAACTTGTAAGAGCGAATTATTTCATTTTCGTTCTCATTGATCTATATTTTCTTTATATCCAACATTTTATTACTTTTTATTCTTCATCGAAATTAATTATAGATCAGGTATAATAACACTGGATAACAGATTAAAATATGTGTAAGAGAAGATTAGTTTTACTGACTAGTATTGATAATATTGATAATCTTGATAGTTGCTGCTGGCCCAATTGGGCGAAATGCGGAGGGGGGTGGTTCTGTTTCTCTTGGGCATGTTGCCGCAGTATTTTCTTATAGGTTAGTTCATTAATTCTCATAAATTTGTTTTATGATAATAGTGAATTAATTTATGTTGCGATTTTAATTTAATATTTTAGTAAGACAAAAGGTCTATTTGCGGGGGTTTCTATTGAAGGTTCTGTAATCATTGAACGTAAAGATGCAAATGCAAAATTATATAATCGTAAAGTGACTGCTAAGGAGCTTCTTTCTGGACAAGTACCGACACCGCCTCAAGCTGATGCTTTATATAGAGCATTAAATGCGAAAGCTTCACGTCCTTCTGATCATGAAACTACAAGTTATGAAGAATCTTCAGAACATGAAGATACTATGTCAACTAGATCAGCAGGGATTTCGAAGAATTATCGTCATAGTCAACCACCACCAATAAAACCAAAATTAAGAGAGGAAAGCACACGCAGTACAAATCCTTTTGAGGCTGACAATTCAAATTTTGCAAAGTCAGTTCAAAGGTCAACTTCTTTATCTTATAATAATTCATCCAAACCTCCACCGATAGCACCAAAACCCAAGATTCCTTCTCGTGCTCCGAAGCCACAAACAGCTACTGCATTATATGATTTTGCTGGGGAACAAGATGGAGACCTTAGCTTTAGAAAAGGAGATATTATCATTATTACAAAGAAAACAGAATCAAACAATGAATGGTATGAATTGATTTTAACTTACTATTTTTTTTATTATACATACTATAGAGATCTTAACGTAATAAAATTTAGGTGGACTGGAAGGTGTAAAGGAGAAGAAGGAATTGTAAGTTTTAAATATGGCTTTAATTAATCTATACAGTTTTATAATGTCATTTATTAATTTACAAATTTGTTTTTAGTTCCCCGCTAATTATGTGCAATTACAATAAGTAACGAAGTAACAAAAACATGTTATCTAAAATTATTATACCAAAATTATATATCATTGTTATTTATCATGTTTAGTGCGTTATTTTTATCTTGCGCATTATATATAATGCCAGTATGCATCTGTTTCCTTTCACTTTCATACTATCATAACGTAACTTGGGATATAGGCTTTGGTCTAATACAACTCGATATTTTGGCCACAGATACTCATGAAATTTGCGAGCAAATTTTCCCGTAAGGCTGTGTAATAGACAGTATCAAATGATGATTAGTTACAATATATTATTTTCTCTATATTTATGCAATCGACAGACATTTCATATTTTCCTTAGGAAAATATAATTTTATAAGGTATTTTGTCAATTTAACTTTATAATAAAAGTCGAAATATTTTTCTTAAATGAATTAAAGTTATTATTATATGCATAATTTATTGCGTGTACGTACATCGTATGTTCATTATGCGTACTAAAATGCAGCCACCCTAATTTATAAAATTGATTTTGTTAATGTCTGAAAACTTCTACGGACATATGTACATATAATGCAATGGACTTATACGTATCGTATAATAGTTCCATTGATAGAACTGTTGATAATTTTTAATTGACTTTTTGCTATTGCTTGAAAACGTGCACGTAAAATTTCACTTTTTCCATTTATTTAAAAAAAAAAGTACTTCAACATTGATTCCATAAGCGCACACTAATTTTCTTACAAAGTTATATCGGGGTATAAAATGTATGAAGACGCGTTCTCTATTATACTTTGTTCGTAAAAGAATTTGTAAAATCAGCTAAATTTTATTTCTCCATTTATATAATGTTAAGCAAATTAAAGTTTTTTATTTGATTTTTGAACAAATATACGTTAAATAAAAAAGTTCTCTAAGTTATAAAAGCTAATTACATAATAAAGAGACTCAGAAATGAACTTTAAGAATATATGAAATTAGAAATGTAAGATTTGATTTTATCATATAAATCATTATCATCAATGTTATTTAAAAAAAAAAAAAAAACTTTACTACCGCTTTTTTAAAATACCCCTCACGATTTTCAGAGGCCTAGAATGTAAAGTACCTCGGGTACTAAGAACAGATTAATTGCACTTGAGAATGTAAAATACCCGGGTATTAAAGATGATTAATTGCACTCAGAAAATATAAAATATTATTGCGGCACACATATAATGCAACTTATACCATCTGCACTGACCATAGTATCCCTCCGACTATAATACCCATATCGATATATACAACTTAAATTGTAAAGTACCCTGTCCAGAAAGTCAAACACAGTGAAGATCAAGTCCCCTAATACTTTGGAATGACTGAGTCATGTTGGTAAATCAAAATATTTTGCGCGTGGCTATGAAGCTTGGCATGTAGCTTATAAAACATTGTACAAAAGCAATAAACAAAGCAATAGCTTTTCGGCTGTATTTGAGTACTATTTATAGAAAACTAGACTTCAAGTCTGAAACCCTGTTTTCTTTTGGTAACACTTATCTATGTATTAATATTATTTGTATAAAATAAACTTATCTAAATATTTAAATAAATTTATTGTTATATTGTTAAGATTTTTCTCTTTAGCATTTTATCGCTAAAATACTATATATGTAAGTAATTTGTTAACATTATTATTATCAGCAATTATCTGGCTCTAAATCTCAGGACTAATTTTAAGGAAATAATTGTTGTAATTATATAATAGATCAAATATAGTAAAATTTATTTACTGATCAAAAAGCATCATATATGGCAGTATGATTATGCATGTATATATGATTCCTTTCTATCTTTACCTCTTTTACTCATCCTTATTACCTTTATAGTTTCGCAGTTTCGGCAGTTTCGTCATTTTAATTTTTTTTTGGCGGAAGTCGAAACTAGTTTTGCCTGTGGCGTAACAGGTTTCGCCTAACACTATTCAGTAGTGACCAAAACATACACGAAAACAATATTTTAGATAATAAAAAGATGCTTTATTAATTCATATGGACTATGTTCTGAGAAAAGGAACCAAATTAATAAAAAAAGATTGGCGGAAAATTAAATTTTATATTATAAATTTTATAATAAATTATAACTTCAGAGAGTTGTACTACCAAATTTTATTAAGATAATAGAACTTGTTTCTTAAGTAAAAAACGTTTCTATATTAATTTTGGATTAGTTAAGCTTGAAAAAAAATTTTGAAAAATTATCAATTTGGTCTACGTGATTATGTATACGCGTATTAAAATGTTGATTGGTTCAAATTAAATTCTGATTATTAGCCCACATAAACACCTTCCTGGTCAAAATAACGTGTATGTTGGAGTTATTACACGTAATTTCTAAATTTTTATTTCATGGTACGTAGCTGATACCAGGTTAACTGTTAAAAAAACGTAACAACATCAGATATGTTTTATGTATCATGTCCTTACCTTAAAAACCTAATTTTGTAATATTCTGATTAAAGTATGGTGCCGTAAATAGCCAATTATTACATTTACTACATATATTTTTACAACGGTTTCTTAAAATTGTAACAGTAGTAATATTTATTACATGTAGTAATAATACTACATTTACATGTAATAACTATTTACTATGTACTATGTAATAATATTAATAATTAACTTGGATTCTAAAAATAATTTATGACGAAGAGTAGTTCTACACATATCTAGTAATCAAATACTTATCACAATACGGCATTATATAACACAAATCTTAAAACACTACCGCTGCTACGTATTCACAAATATAAATATTTAACCATCTTCTGTATTTCTTATTAGTAGCCTCAAAGAATTTCTCATGGAAATTCGTCGAAGCTTCATTTTATATTCAGGTTAATTAGATTCAGATTAATATCATAAGTATATACAAACACCAATTTCCATTTTAAACTTATCTGTAATTGAGATACCATATATTTTCAATTGGTTTCACACATAATCTTTAGTAAAAACATTATGAGATCTTTTGGTTATGATTCAGCATCGCACAAGATGTAGATTGCAATTCATAGCTTTAGCATTAATAAATTTTCTTTATACTTACCCACATGTTGTAATAAATATTACATGTAATAATAATTACCACATGTAGTAATAAACATTATAAGTAATAATAATTACCATCTGTAGTACGTAATAAATATTACATGTAGTAATAATTACTACATGTAGTAATAATTACTACATGTAGTAATAATTACTACATGTAGTAATAATTACTACATATAGTAATAATTACTACATATAATAATTACTACATATAGTAATAATTACTACATATAATAATTACTACCTGTAATAATAATTATTATACTACATATAATAAAATATTACTACATGTAATAATATTTTACATGTAGTAAATATTACAATTACTACTTGTGTAGTAAATAATTACTACATCACTACATATAATAATTTGAATTATAGCACCATATTTTAATTTTGATTACAGGCTAAATATTGCCAGAGCACTAGTTGCGCAATTTATTTAATATTCAATCAAGTCAGCTTTATAAAATCGAATTATTGCATTCTAGTATACATATGAAACACATGATCAAAATAGAGTTTTCGTAAAATTACTTGTTATTGCCTATTGCAAAAAACTTTTGGTTAATATTAAGTAATAAGCCGACTAACCGACTCAAGCTGATTTTACAAGTATTGCCTAGTACATTATTTTTGATCGTGTTGCGTTATGCTGTGGTCCTGAAATCTGATTTGCAGATTAGAAATCTGCGGCACAATGATCAAAATTTTTCAATCACGTGGTAATAGCTAAATAGGGTTTAACTCCTAAGGTTGGCCTCGATATAGCTGTATAGTCACTCTTGATATTCTATTTTCGGTTTACCGACCATTATAAAGCATAAGCAAATTAACCACTATCATCTTAGTCACATTATATTTTGGTTACCAACCCAGTGATTATATCAAGGTCTTATTGTATAGCATGAAGAACTGTTTCCTAAGTAAATTTTGCTGTTTTCAAAAAAAGGTGTGAACAGGTGCAAATCACTGTATCACAGAAATTTCCAGATTTTCAGGAATTTCAAAGTCAGTTATAATCGGGTTTTGAAAACAGCTGTACGATAAAGGCGACAGACGTTTGGACGTTACACCAAATTAAGATTCTTTATTGGCTAATTTTTGTAGATCGTCATATGATCGAAAATTTTGTTAGGTAGTTGATCACTTGCTCGTAAAATAGAATAATCGTATCTTCATACGCAATAACTTTAAGTACTTTATTGAACAATTCATAACCTTATTACGCGTCTATTTGTACACGATTAGTTGTTTGTAAATCCTCTTAAACGCGTAATTCGTTACATTTTACTTAAGTAAACACGGCATTTGTTATCAATCATAGTTGGTAGCTCTCCCACAAAAAATCCCCTTCCTCGTGATTTTTATCCAATTAAATTGAAAGATCAAGTGCTTAGGATTAGGGTTAGGAGGAAAAATTTTTGCCTAAGGTTTTGTGGGAGATCTACAGGCGTTTTATCAATCGTCTAACATATCCGACGCTAAAGTAGATTAGTTATACTGGACTTATAAAAGGTAGTTCCGGGTGTAACAGTACACTGACTAAAATACTACCATCTTTCAGTATCCCCCATTCAAAATACCCGAACATTTTACAGATACAGTCAGACCTCTTTATAGTCACCTCCTCTATAGTCACATTTGCTTATAATTACATAAAATTTTTATACAGTATAACACTTATAAAATTTGCCCTCTATATAGGCACAAACTCTCTATAAGCATCAAATTATTAAAACCAAGGGTGTGATTATAGAGAGGTTTGACTGTATTTGCCCAGCATTTTTCATATTGTCGTATATTGATTCACGCATTACATATATATGCTTGTACGTAAGGATTGGAATCGTTTAA